GGATTAGAAATGTCAACGTTTTTTTGTTAAGTGATGGATATTCGCTTTATATCTTTAAACAGAATTTCAACTCTAATTGTTTAAACTCTATTTGCAAGCCTCATTCCTAAGCAAGTTGGTTTTCTTGTCAAAATTTTTCTGTCGAAACGATATTGATTATCACATTTTTTGATAAATATTTACCATGTGTTTTATTATTTACCCATAAATGATTTATTGTAAAGAGACTACATTTACAGGGTTTGTGGATTTTGCGAAAATACTGGAGCAAAGGGGAAAAAATTGAAACGAAGAAAATTATTCCCAGACGGAGAATTCATAGACTTGAAGGCGGTGCTCGATCCTACATCTAATTTAACGGAATCTTTCTCAAGAGATTGTCTTAACTAACAGATTGTGACCCATCTCAGATAGTACCGAAGGAGAAATTGCTTCAGTCTTACAAAATTTCGCAAACTTATTATAGTGGGTTTTCTTAGTAATATCCAATTTATTACTTCTTATGGTAAAACTTAAAATCTACAACTTCATTAAATTTCTGATTTAGTAAGAAAAATATATTTGGAATTATTAGAATAACTTTTAAGGCTTCCAACTTGAATCAAATAAACTGGTATTTGTATTTTACACGTGATTAACTCATATTATTAATCATCAAATCTAATTAATTCTAGTGGTTCTATGCGATGAAATAATATTAGAGATGATTTGTGTACCCTTAAAATGAAATACGTAGAGATTGACGATAAAACACAGAAAACTAGATCAAATTGCCACACAAATACACGCAATCATTTAACTTAGATCCCCTTATATATTCCTGATCAGTATATGTTATCCCTTACATATTGACTTCCTCTAGTTTTGCTTTCCAAAAAGAGACAAAGTCAATTGTGCTGAATCGGAAAATTTAGAGCTATTTATTTGCGTTATATTGAACTGAAAGTTCGTTTTTCCCTAGTGGCCTAGATCAATATATCGGGGGCGAACACCCAGCTTCAGATAGACAAAACTAACCTTTCCGACGTATTTAGCTCACCCTTATCTCCAAAGATAACGGCGAATCTCAAAGAAAAGTAGGTGAAAAAGAAGGAAAAAGTTCTTCGCTAACTTTTACCATGATTACTTAAAACTCGAATTTAGTTTCATTTCGTTAGTGTTGTAATTAGTTTTTAGTTTACTCTGTATTTTACAAAAAAAAGGTATTTGCAATTTTAAATTGTCATCAAGCTTTTCTAGTTCGTTTTAATAATTTATTATTTTTTATCTATTTCTAGGAATGTATCATTTTATTCTCTATAATCAAAAATAAAATTTTTGATCTCGTAAAATTTCAGAGCAACTATTAAACTCCCACATACCTTATTTTATAGTGCCAATAATAGTGGCGTAAATGAGGAAATGCGGCTAAGGTTGTGAAAGATCTATTTATTTTTTTATTATAAGAAATAATTGTTTAACAAAATGTGCTTTTAGTAATAAAACGTATTTTGAAAATAAGTTATTATCATTCGTCGTCCAGGTCATAGATTATTGGCAGGACTTACTATTCTTGTGTGACTTACCAAATGTTTTAAATCGTTGTACTTAGCAATACTTAACAAGTGTTTAAATTGTTCAAATTTTCTTTTCTTGTTACCTTTTGCTTAAGGTTGCTACAGAACATTTATTTTATGTAGTTTCTAAAAATCGTGTTCGGCATTCTCAATCACAATAACCATAAAGGACGTAACGAAAGATGTAATACCTTGAAAATGTGAAAACTACAAAACTGCGACAATTACAGAATTATATATATATGTAAAGTATATGGCAAGATCTTGGCCAACAAAATATACTTAGAGTACACAGTTATGGAAACAGGTGAGCAAGCATGATTCCTGACTAGAAGATCAGCAATAACCAGGTCTTTTGTGCTTCCCAGTCAAAATAAAGCGTATAATCAAGAAACTCATGTATTGTTTATAGACCGAAAAAGCGTATTCCAGCATCCTAAAGCAAGTTATGGGAAGCAATCGATAGAATATCAGCGTGACTATAATAAAGGCAGTAAGAAATTTATACTAACAAGCATAAATCAGCTAAAATCAAGGTAGGACAGAAAGCATAGAATAACTCCCATATCACTAAAGGACTCAAGCAGAAGTGGTACCTATTCACGACTTTGTTCAAAATATATCTGAAGCAAGCACTAAAATAGTATGGCTATTTCGCTAAATGATACATCATCCACACACTAGGTTTCGCCGACGACCAAATAGTAATCGCATAGGACCAGCAAGATATGGAGTACATGATGAAAAAGATCATAGAGGAATATAGTTAATGGGACAAATAAGCAACGGCAGAACATTAGAGTGCATCACAAAGGATCAAAACACACAAGACAGAACTAGAATAAGTATCAAATGTGTAATACGTTAGTAAAGAGCGTACCAACATAGCAGCGCAATATATCACTTAAAGGAAAAACGAAAAAATCCTAATGACAAAGGAAATGGATTACTGGCGAAGAGTGGCAAGCAAATCGAAAATGGATAGAATCAGCAAGATTGATTTCAATTGATTTCTTGTATTATCGGAAAAATATCCATTTCTAGATATTCAATAGCGTATCAAAATAGTTTTGTCAGTCGTGTTTGAAGTGAGATTGTTTATCATTTTTTTCGTCAACATGAATATGTGATTTAAAAGAGCACCAGAAAAACAATCGTGTGCAAAAGAACAAGTAGAATTTCCTTCAGTGTGAGAAGATCTAGTTAATTAAGAAATTCCTTATGATATATATGTAAAGTTATTATGCTTTAAAATTTCATTAAATCGGTGCATGAAACCATTGCTATTGAACCCCGTCTTTCGCCATTCCACGTTAGAAAACAAACCTAAAGAATATTTGTCCTTCGTAAATTGAATGTAATAAAAGTTCCAAAGACGTTAATGTTTTTTATAGCCATTGATTTTTCTTTTTAACCAGATTGAAAATAGTACGGTGTGGAAAAGCCCATACTCTGAATTGCATTTTGCGAGAGTACCCTACTAAATAATTGAATGCCATTTCACTATCAAGTGACACCGTTTGGCGAAGGATTAATGTTATTGAAACTGAAAAACATGTTAATAGAAAGAATAAGAAGCAATCGATCGTTTTCAACTTGATAAAAGTAGGAATGTTACAAAGAATTAGCAGATGAAATATTTGAAAGAAAATAAGATTTTTGAGAAAAATGCTCTAGATTGAAGCTATGGCCGAAAAACATGCAGGTATCGTCAATAAAGATGTTGCAATTTATAGAGAAGTTCCCGTAATGTGGTAAGATTTACCACATCAAGATCTCAACCTGGGTAATTTTCAAAGCTATATTGAAACTAGCAGAAATGCCAAGAGAGTACATTTATTCATTCAGAGGTATGATAGCTTTCACGTTGAGAAATGTTAAATTAATTATTTGAATTAAATTCTGAGATGGAAATGTTTCCAATGGAAACTAATTTTAATTTGCGTGATCAATTGACCGATAAGTTAATATAAAGTTTGTATGGAAAAACAATAAATCGATTTTGCTTAAATGATAAAATTCATGCAATATAAAACAGCATTGCGAAATGCTCGTTGACTATTATTTTTAGGAAGTTCATCACCAGAAAGAACTTGTCTATCGATGAATATGAATCTTTAATATAATTATCTCATGATGGAGACTTGAAAATAGAATAGACCAATTATAGTTGAGTGAAGTCTAGTTAAAGGTAAAAAGCGAATACCCGTTACTTAATAAAGAAGCTTTGACATTCCTAATCCCATTTACATCTACCTACCTTTGCGAAATTGCATTTTCTGCAACGGTCATAATAAAGCAGTAAGTTGAAAATAAATTGAACCTGGATAAAAAATCTATGCCTAAAATTACTTTCGCTTAAATCCAACATTTTCTCCTATTTCAAGTATGTAGTAATTTTTATATAAACTAAAACTGGAACTAACTAACACTAGCACTATCACTAGGGAGAACTAACATTAGACCTAGAACTAGAAACTTTAGAAAATGTGGTAAACGTGTCGGATGTCATGTCGCAACCTTCTTCAGAAACAAGTGTGAAGTGATTTCGAACTTGACTATATTGTTAGTTTTGGTTTTAGTTTAATTAACACCAGCCGTGAAAACCTTAGTACTTAAGTTTGTATATACATCTAAATTTTTAATACATCTTTAAAACAGCCATAAGTGGTACGTGAAGATATAAGTTTAATAATTATTGCCATAAAACTTTGCAATAAATTCCACTTATATCTAGTCGGGGGACACAGTCTTTTGCCAGCCGATAGAAGGGACAGTACGGTTGAAAAAGTGTTCAAACATCCAGATATCAAGACAAACGAGGGTTATGATCACATTTTTTTTATGAAGACAAGATTTGGCGCTTGGATATGAATGGTTCCTTTATGTTGTTAAGAAAATGTCAATCAAAAACGGAAAAATTTTTTGATAAATTAAATTAATAAATATCTTTAATATAAAGTTATTAAAGTTAAAAGAAGAATTCCTTAAAATGCTTGTTACAACAAGAATTTAGAGAAAGATGGGAAATGAAAAAGATTTAGCACGACATAAAGATATTTTATGTACAGAAGATATAGGTTAACGACGTGAAGATGAGAACAAAACGAAGTGACTGCTTGTAGGATGATAATTTCATCTAATTTTAACATCTCCTCCTGTACGTTACATAATAAAACATATTTTTATTTGCACCTACACTGAACTAAAAGCTAGTTAAAAATACATATTTTTTAATTGGTGTATGGGTGATAATTAAATTTGTATGAATAAAACTAGTTAAAAATTTCAATAACAAGCTTACACGTTACTGAGACTGCAATAATGCTGTTTTAAATCACAGAATTAAATGAAAAAATCCTAATTAAAAAATCCTAACGCTATATTCAGATTAGTTATTCTCAAAAGAAGTAGATGAATAACAATAAAAAAATGATTACTCACCAATGACTGTAGCTAATATAAGAAGACCAAGTACCACTCCAGTAGCTATCATTGTTACCAATTCTGCAGTAACTTCTGAATTAGTCGTAGTAGCATTTGTCGCATTCGTACCATTCAAATAATCCAAAGTATCATTAACAATAAAAGAAGTTTCGTTATGTTTACTCATACTAAAGTCGTCTATTTCATTAAACTCTATTTTATACCACATCCCACTATCTTCCTCTTCAGTTGTGCTTATTGTAGACGTTGTTACTACGGATTTTGTAGTTGTTAACATATATTTTACCGTACTGGCCACTAAATTATTTAAACTTTTATTAGACATCAATAACTTATGGTGTACCATGGGTGCGGTTGCGAAAGATTTTATTTCTTTAGCTGATGATATAGCGGCCATCGGTCTCCACAAGTGATGACTCTCAACGTAATCGACCGTCGTTGTTGTCATTTTAGCGTTTATTTTTGTTATCCGGTGTGATTGGGATGTGAGCAGGCGGATGATGTTTTGATTACATTTTGAAATGTCCTCGTGTTGATGCTAGTATTGTTGTTATCGACTCCGTCGTTTTCAGGTTATCCGAAATATTATTGTTTGTGAGTTGGGATTCGCGAACTGAAAGAGAAATTTCCACACGATTAGTTAGAATTATGCGAAATATATTGTGCAATATATTACATGAATATAAATATTTACGGCAACCTTTCAACTGTTCGTGTTTTTATTGATAAAGAAGTATTTATTTACTGATTAAAAAATCTTTAAATTGACTTTAAATCGAAGCAGTTTGCAGATCTATATTTGAATTTATAGATAATTATTAAATAAATTATCTTATGTGAGATTTGGTTTATTTAGTAAATTAAAATTAAGAATCATATAAAAGATACTATATTATTATTAGTTTATAATCTATTTGATTGACACTGACGTTAAATTGGGAATATGCTGTTATAAGTCCATTTTATCCGCTGTCAATCAGATTTAACGTCACTGACAGAGTTGTAAACTCGGTTATACGAAAAACGGCGATATTTATCGCTAACGATATTTGCCAGAAAAGTTGTAATTAAAAAATTGTATTCCGGATTATTGTTATTATATGTTATGTATGTAGCAAAATAAAGAAATAACAAATTAGGTGACATAGAAGTTATCCAGGTTAGATTGAAATTAGTGCAGATCAATCCAATTCAGCTCCACAAACATTTCTGTTACACCTGAAATGTACATCCATTTCATTTATTAGAAGCTGAGTGCGATGTTGCGGCATATTTATTATAGGCTATATGCGTTACTGAAGGGAAACCAAAACAATAAGCTTATTATTTAGTTGCTTATCTGTGCCTATTATCGTCCGAATATTGAAATTAAGTGGAAGTGTGAGTAGGATTAACGTCTGTCAAAACCCTTTCTTGAGCCTACATGGAACGTCGAATAAGTCCCTTCAGCGTCTTACCAAAATTTGTGGATAACAACATACAAAAATGATTCCCATTACTTACAGTAATACCCTTATTTGAGAAATGTCGTAAAATAAGAGATTTACTTGAAAGATTTCAGAAAATACTTTTGCTACAAATTTGGAAGGCCACAACTAAAATAATGATAGCAAACTCAAGTTCACTGTTCTCAATGAAGAAGCGAAAAGGAAGTAGCAGTGGCATGCCAAAAAGTTTTGTAGCAAGAAATGCCTCGTTTCTTAAGCCAGTGCAGGATATGTTTTATTTCAATAAATTGTGGCATTATGCTTTCAATATTCTATCTTCTATACTTATCCAAAAAGAGAGGCAAACAAAGGTGCAAATGAAGTTTCAGATGAAGCCACTGATATCATCCGACTTTATTGGGATTATGATCTTCCACAAGATACAACTCTCCATGTCTTCAGTGGTGCTTGCTCTGAACAAAATAGAAACCATATTCTCACGAAAATTCTCTCAACATTCACTATACCAGACCGATTTCAAGTTACACAACATTTGCCCTTAAACTGCCGAGGTTGCTTGCGAGTTAGATGCTAGAATCGTCCAAAGCTGATGATATTATGATCATATATCAAATCTAGCGCCTCGCCCGAAAACAACCTCGGCGATTTGAAACAAAAGTCTGTTATAAGAAGACATTTATCTTCAAACCGCCGAGGTCGCTTACGAGCGAGGCGCTACAATCCGTCAAAGCTGACGATTTCAACGTGATATATCAAAACTAGCACCTCGCCCGTAAGCGACGTCGGCGATTAGAGGCAAAATCGTTTCTTATACATCTTGATAAAGATACAAAGTTTGTCACAACAAGACATGAAAGACTTGACGCTTGCAGGCGCAGCACTAGAATCATCGAAAGCTGACGATTTCATGTTGTATATATTCATGTATATCAAATCCAGCGCCACGCCCGCAAGCACCTCGGCGATTTGAGGCGAAATCATTCCTTATGTATCTTAGTAAAGATAAAAAGTCTCTTATAAGAAGACTTCTGCCTATTTCTTCATTCACATGGCTCTGTTTGTATAAACTGGATGATCTCCCACAGATCAACCCACTCTTGATGCTGCTGCTCTAGCGGAGTATTTTGCGGATCCTTCTGCCTAACATAACTAGGCAGAATACTATTAATGAAATCCTTGCATCTACCAACGTGCTGCTTTCCTTTTCATTCAGCTTGGTTACAGATGCTGAGGTCCGGCATGCTTTAACTTACTCGAAGTCCACTAGTGTCGGCGCAGATGTTATTGGACTCATTGTCAGATTCCTCTTACCCATTCTGGATATAGTTATTACTCCCCTAACACATATTTTCAACTGTTCTTTTGAACAGTCTATATTTTCGTGTATCTGACGAATCGCCCATGTTATTCCTATCCCAAAAATTAAATCTCCGTCAGCACTAAAACTACAGGACTGATTAAGATCACCTTGATGATATTAGATCTGCTTGTGATAATCATTGTGTTACCTTGCTAGTGTTACTTGATTTTAGTAAGGTCTTTGATTCTGTGGACTATGCCCTCCTATTAACTAGGTTCTCTGCTATTAGTTTTACCTCTTCTTGTGTATCTTGGTTCCAGTCCTACCTTTCCTGTCGGTTTTTACGTGTCTGCGTGGAATCTGTACTCTATTCTCCAGTTGACATCAAATGTGGAGTTCTCCAGGGCAGTGTGCTGGGTCCTCTGTTCTTGTCAATTTTCATAAATAGTATTAGTGATAGTATCTCGTGTAACTATCATTTGTATACAGATGACCTTCAACTTTATATTTCGTCAACTGTTAACAACCAGATGCTTTGTTGCATCTTAACAACGAATTCTCTATCATACTTAACTAGTCTAGACGTCATAGACTTAACCTGAATCAGGTAAAACGCAAACCATTGCATTTGGCACTCGTCCCTTGCTGGCACCCTTCAACTGAGGCTTGGCGACACCGTTATTCCGTTTTTTAATACGGTCAAAAATCTTGGTGTGATAATGGATTCGGCGATATCTTGGCGGCCACAAGTTCAGGGAGTCTGTAGGAGGGTTTACTTCTGTTTCCATACTTTGAAAAAACTTCGCTGCTACCTTTCTCCTGTTGTACGTCGTAACCTTTGCTATTCCCTCATTTTCTGCTATTCCCTTCGGGGTAAATTGGAAAGACTTCAGAACAATTGTATACGGTACATTTTTGATTTAGGAAGGTTTCAGCACATTACTCCATATCGTAACAACCTGCAGATGATGACTTGCCAGAGTCTTAGATCATCGTATGCTTACTTTGTTATACAAAATTGTCCATTCTCGCACTCCTGCTTATTTGTCTGATGCCTTTCACTTTTTAGCATCACATGACTTGCTCACTCGATCAATGTCGGAAAATGCCTTGAGGCGCCATCTGCTATCTCTTCAACTATCTTCTTCTTGACCTATACGTATTTGTTTTCTTTTCTAGTCTGCCTTTCATCTTTCTTTAACTGCACTTTTTTGTGTCTATTTCCTTCCTTGTAGTAACTGACTGTCGATCCGTTACATAATTCAAATATGCTCATTCGCTCAGTTTTATTAGCACATCATTTAGTATTACTTTTTCGGTAGTCATAATTATTTATTTAAAATTACATATACACTGTTACCAGTTGGGTCTCTTGGAAGATATCGCTTATTGCGACAAATTGATCCGTTTGTCTTGATGTCTATATTTGTTATGAATGTATATATTCATGTAAATGTTTGTTTTTGATGCTATAAACATTATTATTATATTTTTGCCCAACATGCTAATCTTATTCAAGGAGTAATTGTCCTTTATTCCTATTAGAGTGCTGATAAACATAAGTTTATGTTTGCTAGTTAGTAGTCACAAACTTACGTTTCTATCCGCCCAATAAGGTTCGGCATCCTTCATATACGATGTTTGCACGTCTTTGCAACTAATTTTCATAACATATTTGTCCGGTTTACGTGAAGTTTTTGAATAGGATAGTAATCATGATTGAAACGATGAAATTAGTTTTGTTGCATTTAATGTTGGGCCAATTTCATCGAAACTTGTTTTACAGCTGTAATTAAAAGAATATGATATGTCTTATTCTTCAAATGTATCCAAAGGGATAATGGACGGTGGATCTATCGAAGGATCAACTTCATCTTCAGATCTAACATCCCTTCGATTTTTTATAAGAATATTTAAAATCTAAAGTGTGCGTAAAACCGCTAGGGACCATTGAGGAATTGAAAAAAAAATCGTTGAATTCTGCAGAAATATTGGTTCTGACGTACTAAGACGTGTGTGGGAGGAAAGTTTGCGAAGGTGGTATTACTGTCAAGAAGGTTAAGGAAGGTAAACATATTGAACATTTTATTTAATTGCTTTAATGCATTAAATTATACTAAGAGTATACTTTTATTCAATAAGAAATTTCTATCATTTTTTAAATTTTTACATTTTTTAATAAAACCACCATTCTATTTCAATCTGCTTCAAAGGATATTAAAATTTTCCAATCCCCTAAACACCATTCACGGTCGAAAAGTTTGCTATAAATAACTAACAAAGGATTGATTCATCGTCTATTTTTTGCGCTTGTTGTTTTAGTCTAAATTACACACTTCCTATTTAGATTTTCCAGTTTTTTTGTTAGTTTTCCATTAATAAGAATGTATTCGCTGATGACACAAATAAAAGGTTTGCACAAAATGATCAAATCAAAAAATTCGATATCACATTTATACCAAAAATCGTAAAAACATTTTGTGGGCGCGACAATATTTCACGATTCATTCAAAATTTATTCGGTTATAAGTACGCAGCAAATAGCGATGCTTTTGCGTTTTTATGGCGTCGTAAAGTTTCAAATTGGCACTAACCTAACGCTCTCGCAATATTTTCTTCGTATAACTTTTTAAACACAAATTATCTCAAAGTATTATTACACTTTAAGATTCCTAATTTAATAAAAAGATTAACGAGATAAATACAATTATTCCTAATGTTCTTTTAATGTAATTTTTGATATAAAAGATTTTACGAACCACACTTTACATAAATCTTTGAAACGTATTAAAAACGCTCTATTATTAACTAAAACTATCTCCATTAAAATATTTTATAAAACTACATTAAATCTTAAAATTTATA